AGAGAGAGAGAGAGAGAGAGAGAGAGAGAGAGAGAGAGAGAGAGAGAGAGAGAGAGAGAGAGAGAGAGAGAGAAAGAGAGAGAGAGAGAGAGGACCAAACACAAGTCACAAGGCGTCATAAAATTCGTAGTCTGAAATTGAATGTTGAGCGACCGAAAAAGAAAAAAAAGGTCACCCATGAACTGCGAAGCCTTCTGATATAAATACATGGAAGGTGAGATCGTCTCACCTTCGTCCCATGACGACGAAACACTACGAAAGCAGGAAAAAGAACCACAAAAAAAAATCACCAAAAAACATTTCATTTGCCTTCGCCGATGCTGTGAAGGAAAGCAACATACAACCTATCCAAAACTATCACCCACCTACAAATATGTGTGGCACAGGGCGAATGTCGATCCTTGTGTACCCATAAACGGGCACTCATCATTCCTGGCGTGGCGGTCCGAGACCGGGACAAAGGTCCACGCCTTCGCCTAGGCACTCTTTTCCGGGCAGCCGTGTCTACCGGTCTCGTATGGCCTTCACTATCTCCCTCAGCGCATGGCACATCATCTTGCTCACTTCGTCCGACGCCGCATAATGTTTCTTCTGCACCTCCACCTCCGCTTCCAAAGCTTCACACTGCCGAATTTGGATGGAGCACTGCCTCTTGCTAGCGCTCTTCAAGGTCGACGCCATCAGCGTCTTGTGCTTCTCCATACACTCGGTGAGGGCTTCGAAAGTCTGCTGCCTCATGCTCTTCCTCTTCCCGAATCCACCGGGGCTGCCCGTGGTTTGTGAACAACCCCTCGTCGAGCTGTCGTCTTCGTCGTTGCCATCGCCACCCGCATCTCCATCACTGACAGATTCAGGACCGCCCGACGACCCGGATGGAAGTTGCACACCTCTTGCTTCGCCGGGGTCGGCGATATTCTGCGAGTGTATTGTGTGACTCTTGGCGATCGATCCCTTGATCTCGTCGTAGACAGCCCACTCCATGTTGGAAATGAACTCCCTCGCCAGCCTCTCCTTCGCTGACAACCGAAAGAAGTCCTCCTTCCAAGACTCGCCCTGGAACAAGTGCACCTTCTTGAACTGCTGCATCAAATTATCCCACTTCTTCCCGCATTTCTCTGTCGGTCTGTCGACGCCGACCTTCAACAACCTCTCGTGAACGCCCGCCCACTTCCATTCTCTCCCCCACATACGAGCTAACGCGTGGCCCGACGCCTGCAGTTGCGCATCCTGGTCCCGCTTCGCCCTGATGAGGGCGACCATATGCCCCACCGACCAGAAGTTCCGCCCACCCTCCGGCTCCCCGTCGCCCTCGTCCTCGCCACCCCATGCTACCACCTTCTTTCCCCGTCGTCCTGTCGATGCAGAAGCCCTACTCTTGCCGCCCCGACTGCCCATGCTAGCCGTCCGCAACGGGAACGCATCGCCTATGTCGTCGTCATGTGCTTCGCACTCGCCTTCGTCTCCGTCGTCGTACTCGTCGCCTCCCCTGACTGGCCCGTCTGCCTCCAATGCCCGCTCCCCCACACAAAATCGCTGCACGCCCTAGGTTATCGATTCCTCTTGCTGTTGACGCATCTCCTGCCGATGTTCCTTCCACACGCGCCTCCCATCTCGTTCGGCACCCCCGCTTGCGAAGTCTTCGTTCGTCGGCCCGCACTCAGATGCACGTCGGCCACCGCCGCAACCTCCTGACAATGGAGACGGGGACCACATCCACTGTGGACGACCGACGCCACTGCGTGCTACTGATGTTTTCGACGACGGCACTCTCGGCCGATCCCTCATGTTATCGGACGCCTCCCATCCCACGGACGCACCCTTCGCAGTTCGGCCGACCAATGTCACTTGCCTTGCGTCGTCGTCAGGGTGAGGGTTCACGAGGACTGTCCGTGTGGCGGCCGATGAGCTCCCACTACCTAGCCCGAATGACAAATTAAGGGCGCCATCAATGTCGTCTTCGCGGATGCCTTCCTCCAGGAGTTTGGTGTACGACTACATGTACGTGCTACCATGCCGACCGAACGACTGGCTGCCCGCCCAGTCCTGGGTGGACCCGCTACCCAGCGAGACTGTCCGTGCCCGAGCTTCGTCCGCATCCTTGTCCGACGAGTCGGGTAGAGGTTGCTCGTGCGGTGGGAGGTGCGCGTAGGCTGACGGGTCGTGCGCCCTTGTAGCGTGAGTACTGTCGTGGCTGGGGCGGTGGTTTGCGTGTTGTTCCGACGACGTCCTCATATTCGCGTGTCGTCCGTCCATGCTGATGTGCTTCTTCACCAATCGTCTCTTGCTTGTGCGACCAGGCACCCGACCCAGGATGCAGACGTGGAATACGACGACAAGGAGAAGCAAAATGATGACCAGGACAAGCAGCGGCAGCCGTCGGAAGACGTCGGCCATGAACGAGACGTGGGGATGAGCACCAAACATTTGACGATAGCGCACCTCCAGCAAACGGCAAAGCAGACGGCAGCAAATAGCTGACGACTGCATCTGACAAAAAGATGGCCTCTCCCGATTTACATTGCAGACTGCGGTGGGTGTTGGGAACGATTGTCGGCTAAAATATTTGAAATTGAAGACCGTTGGACCCTTTTCCGTTTGCCGCCAGGCAGCGCGACGAACTGCGAACGCCAGCAAACGTCCGTGGAGGCCAGCCGTCCCCCAACGGTTACCGATGCTGTGAGTTCCCCCGAAGGCGAACGTTGGCGGCCGAACATGTCCGTGCAGTGCCCGGTAGGAACTGCATTGGACCAGCCTCCAAAAAATTGTCGTCGTCGAAGGGTGCCGCCGCCGTCCCGATTTACGCGGATACTCAACCTCCGAGGGGCCTCGTGCGGTACCTTGGGGATCGCCGCCAAATGCCTGTAGCCCGAGGACGCCCCGAGGACAACCTGAGGAAATGTTTTCACATTTGGTTTTCGGGGATCCTCGAACGACAATTTCCTCGGGGGATTTACGCGCCCGAGGAGTGTCTAACGAGCCCCTCTATTCTAATTTTCAGTATTTTCTTCCCCCTGACCAGATCCAGTGGCTAACCACCATTCCCACTAAAGTTAGGCCAATCACAAGAACCCCAATCACGATTCGTCAGCTAAAACCATCCTAATTTCCGTTTTCTCCTCCGCCTAGTCAAGCCCTATTAAACTATCCGCAATCTTACAAACCAACACTAATTTCCAACGCAAACAAACACAGAATTAACACCTACACACTTAAACCACCAGTACTTGGGCGACGCCTTAGCGTTAACGCTACACGATTTCCGCGGCCAGCGGGCCGTCGATAAATCGAATTGACAGCCCACGCTGCTTCGATATTTGGGCGGCCGGTGCGGCGCGCAGTGCCCAAGTACTGGTGGTTTAATTAACTAAACTCCAACACCGCAACAAAAATTAATAAGAACCCAACAGTATCTACAGAAATTAACAAAATCCGCAAGTTCTGCAGAAGCATTTTATTGTAGCTTCAGGTCCATTGAACAAACATCATGTCTTACACGGTGCTCCCGGCCAAAAGAGGGAGGGGTATTCACCCCTTCACTAAGTGATAGAGCCAGGTATCTATGAGCACATTTGCCAGTCATCGTCCACACAGCTCCACGTCAACATCCCTGATTTGCAAGGGTTGTGCCGCACCACCGCTCCACACGTGCAAATCAAACGTGTCAATCCTCTGCAGACATGAAGTCAATGAAGTGTCCGTATCTATAATCAGCGGGCAAAGCCCCTGATTAGGTGATAATTCTGATATGAGACGGCGCCCAGATCCCGCCCGGCCAACCACCTCACATTTGTCCCTATCCAACCATGATTAGCACAGGATTGCCAACCTAAGTCGACCGAGACCGGGCTATGGCAGGGGCATGGTTGTGCCCCCCCAAGGCGATACTCCCTGACACCCTCGCGCCCATCTTCCCTTCTCGCCTCCGCCACCCCCGATTACAGGTTCGGGCTAAACACGCTTCCCCCGTAGCCCACGTGCCGCCGAAGCGACGCGCTAGCGCTGCGTTACGGCAGCGCTAACGGGCCATCACCTAAAGCAGGCTACAACCATCTTTTACACCCGTGAACTGTTGTAAGC